AAAAAAAAAAAGGTACTTGAGCTAAAGGCGCTGGAATAATATCTCCAAAAATAACAGGTAACAACTAGCAACTGCTGGAAAGAAAATGGAAAGGTGTACAACAATTTTGATACCAAAAAATTGAACCACCTTATTAAACTACAATCGGCAATTCAATGATACTACAATACATTTGAGAAAAAGGTTACAAAATATATTTACAAATTGCATTTAATTTCAGCTATTACTACGGCTATTATTAAGGCCACGATTAATTTTTATAATTTACTGTTACATTAACAGACAAGACAAACTACATGTGAGAGCAACCTAATAACCCCTCCCCCCTGCCCCCTGTACCTAGAAAAGGTCAACAGTGACAAATACTTCACAATGTGGTTCTGTTCGAAACATTAGGGTTTCTTATTCTAGATAACCAATTTGAACTTTTCAACAATAAAACCGCATATTATATCTTGTCAAAAACCTGGATTCGGTGGTTATTGATATCACACACAACTATCCTTCCATCACTAAGATTTGCAGTAGACTTTGGAAACTTTAACTCTCCTCTCTCGCTGCCTTCACTTCCAAACTTTGTAACAAACTTTCCACTCAGTTCAAACACCTGCACTCTGTGATTTCCTGCATCACAGACCATTAGCAATCCTTCTTTGTTAACTGACAAGCATCGGAGCCCATTGAACTCTCCATCCTTGTTCCCCCGTTTTCCAAATTTAGAAATAAACTTTCCCTCCAGATCAAACATTTTAATGGAATGATCACCATAATCTGAGACTATAAAATATTGACCGTGTTGGATACAGTGATAGGGAGCGACTAATGAACCTGCTCCACCAAACTTACGTAAATACTCCCCACTAGAAGAGAATATCTTGATTAATTTGTTACCTTGATCAGCAATAATAATATCACCGTTACCGTTTATTGATAAACCGTGAGGGTTTTTAAGATGATTATCACGACTTCCCTGTTCACCAAACTTACTAAGAAAGTTACCATTCCTATCAAAGACTTGCACTCTGTGGTTATTATTGTCTGCCACTACAATGTTGCCAAGACTATCAAAAGCGATCCCTGAGGGGTACTGGAACTCACCATTGTTCTTGCCCAACCTACCAAACGATCTTAGGTGGGTACCGTCACTACTAAACACTGAAACCCTGTTGTTACGGAACTCAGTCACAGCAATTTCATCATGATCATTCGCTGCCACCCCCCAGGGTCCTTTAAGCATTCCAAAAGACTCACCTTCTTGTCCAAATGACAGCACAGATCTGAAGCGCCTGGTTTGTACCTTAGACTCAAGAGGACTGTCACGAACATTTGCCCTTTTATTCCCAGAAATTGCTTCACAGCTTGCCTTGCGTTTAAACCCTGACTGTTTCGTTTTAGATTCAATAAAAACAAATTCTACATTACCTATCCCCTCGCTCATGCTCAACAAGTTAATCAGTTTTTCACTTTTAGTGAAACTAAACCGAGGGATACTGCATTCAGTGTCACGGTTTCCTTGGGTTCCCTGTTCCTGCAGTATTGAATCAAATGTTTCACTGAATCCAAGGATTTCAGTGCTAAAACTTCGTTTTAACAGAGTTTTAGTGTGTTTAATTGCTGATTTAATTAATTTTACTTGTTTTTCCACTTCGTCTCTTTTCCGTGAGAGAAATTCCAGTGATTTTTTCGCTTGATTATTGACTGCATCAAAAACATCTTTTTTTCTCTCTTCGATGATTGCAATGATTTGGTCTACACAAGACTGCACTTGGCTTTTTACCTCGGCTACTTTCGATTGAAATGCGATGCTTTTTTGGTTGAATTGTTCGACTTCCTTTTGTTTTTCCCGTAATTTGTCTTTCAAAGATCGAATCATGGAGTTGATCTGTGTTTTGCGCTCATCAGTAGCTTCTTGTAAAGGAATCTTACCGTGACCTTCATGAAGTGTCATGGCACAAGTGCTACAAACGGCGACTTTACAGTCCTTGCAAAAGAGCTCCAACTCTTTGTTTTCATGGTGTTTCTTCTGACAAAATGCTGGTCGCTCTAATACAGCCTTGATGTCTTGATCTTGAAAATCTTTTAGTGCTAGCGTTCTGTGTTCGTTGTTAGCACGCATTATGTCATGTCCTAAAATGCATCTCTCGCACCAGAAGGAACAACACTGGAAGCAATACGAGGTCTGGGCGCTCCTTTTATCGCAGTTTCCACACTTCACGTTAGCTGTACTACACTCTTTTATTGCCAAGACATCTAGCAGGCTGTTTATTCGAAAATTGGTGGGAAGTTCGCTAGGATTTCCACTTCTAGAAATCTGAAACTGCCTCCTGCACTCGGGGCATGTAATTTTACCACGGACGCCGCTCGTTCGTTGAATTTCGTTCAGGCAGTGAAGACAGAAACTGTGCAAACAAGGCAACTGCTTTGGAGCAGCGAATGTACACTTGCACACAGAACAGGATACTTCATCATGAAGACTGTCCAGCAAGGTCTTTATATCCATGTAAAAGGTTGGAAACAAGTTTAAAAGGTTTGGCCTAGCTAGTTGTTGACGATTACAGGAAATCGGACCTTTCGTGACCAAGACTAAACTCTGTATGAAGGAACCAATCAAGTAGAGTTTCTTGACATGTTTTGATGGTTTGACGGAAGAATAAAAAACATCCTGTATTTCTGAGAATTATTAATTCTATGGCGTTCCATTTCCGCCAAAATTCAATGTTCCATTTTACTATTGTACTTAAAGAATCAATCCTACATTTTGTGCTTGTCATTTGAGTTTGCACTCAAGATTCAACTTTTTTGTATTCAACATTCAACTTTTTATAAGCAGCAGTCAAGTTTTCGAATTCGACCTTCAAGTTCAGTGGAATGTACATTCATTTTTTCGCATCCAACATTTGTCCTTTAAGTTTTCGCTTCCCACATCCGACTTTGGGCATTGTACTTGCAAGTTTTCGCATTCGACATTCAACTCTTCGAATTGAACTTTTACCCGCTGCTCAGCGTCCGATGGAGATCGCGGGCTCAATTGACCTGACCCACCCCAGCTCAAATGGTGGTCAAGAGTCGGTCGAGAGACTTCTCAGTGGAGTGGAGTCGGGAGACCTTCTCCACTCCCCACAAACCAGACGTTGACAGATAGATAGAACATGGCCGATCGCCTGGATGCCGCTGCACAGTCTTTGAGGGAGGCCGAGTGCTGTCCAACCGACAGTCTTCTTTAGTGGAAAGGTGTATTTCATAAAAAATCTCTTAAATATTTAACCTGAATTCCCATACAAATTAAGAAGCCCACAGGCGGCGCAAGCTCTAGCCTCCCATGAAGACGTTACAGTCAAACCAGGTCAAGCGTTCCCGTCGCTAACGAACTAATGAATTCATTCACGGAAAAATGATTTCGTTTGTTGATTCAATAATCCATTCATAAAATGAACAATCCAATATTCATATTTAGCCTCGATTCCATAATCGAATGTTGATTCGATTACTGTGTTTTGAAAAACTACACTTTCCACAAGTTGGCCTCAGAATTTTGTTTTTTCCTCTTTTTTTTCTGAGAGTCGAGGTCTGGCGAGTTCTGAAGTTCAAACCCAAACAAACTGTTACATGTACGCCAGTTTGCTGCCAGTAATCAGTGCAACAGACCTAGGCCTGACCTCTTAGGGCCTGTTTACATGGAGGTGGGGGACCCCAGGTAGGTGAGGTAACCCGCTTAGGTGGGGTAACCCGCCTGTCCATATAATCTCTCATTTTCATTTGATCACGTTTACATGATAGGTGGGGTGACCCGCCAAGGCGGGTAGCCCGGTCTACCAGACCGGGTTACCCTCTCAGCCGGGGTCACAATTTTTCATGTAAACGTTTCAAGGTGGGGTAACCCGCCTGGCCGGGGTCGGATTCGTGATACATCAAATTCGCGCAAAATTCGCTTTCGCGGTGTCTTTGCATTATGATTAAAGTTAACAATAGAAAGCTATTGCACTGACGGGTTGCAGCAAGAGCAACAAGTGAGTGAAGAAGTGCATTAATCGCCAAAACTCGTGGTTTGCCAGCATTTTTCTTGTTTACGTGCTTAGCGACCATTCAATAATCTTGAGAAAGTGCACCCCGGGAAGGCGGGGTTGTAAGATTGCATGTAAAGGGGGGTTATTTTTTTACCTCACCTAAGCGGGTTACCTCACCTACCTGGGGTCCCCCACCTCCATGTAAACAGGCCCTTAGAAAACACAACGGTCAAACTGAGGTCAGTGTATGTGCGGTGATTGGTGGATTTCGATCCTCGGCCTTTGTCAGTTTCTTTGCGTTTGCGGTCTGTCTATTCTAGCTGTTATTTTGATTAAAGGCAATGAAAAACGCAATCGTAAACGGCAGGAAAAAGGAAGCAAATACGATTGAACACAACAGACAAGAATAAAGAACAGGTAGATTTTGTTCATAAACCAAATCAACATTTGATTATTGAATCGAGGTCCAATTTGACTGTTGGATTATTCATTTTATGAATGGATTATTGAATCAACAAACGAAATCATTTTTCCATTAATGAATTCATTAGTTTGTTAGCGACGGGAACGCTTGACCTGGTTTGACTGTAAGGGGATATTAAGGGGCGGTTCGTCGCATTCGTCGAGCATTCCTCCCGAATACCCCATAGGACGTCTGCGTGGGAGGCTACCCAAGCTCTCGCCGTATAAGTGATTTGAAAAAAAATATCCAACACTGAAAAATAAAAATATCTGTTGTGGCATGTAATGCTGGAGAAAAATATGTTACACCGTTATATGCCAGGGAAATATATTCTATCTCTACAGGTTTAGGAAAGAAAATTTACTCAGGGTAAATCACCCTTACCTCCCCTCAAAAGTCAAATGGTCGACCCCTACTCATTAATATTGGCGGTCGCAAATTGCACAATCTTATGCAGACCGATTTTTGATTGCTGGTGGGCAAGAAATCAAAATTCATTCCTTCTCAAAAAATAAAGAAACGAGTAAAATACACAAGCAAAAGCTTTCGGAAATATTTCATTCTACGATCGATGCCGTCCAGTACACAGCGCGCGTGAAGTGATCAAAATCAACCTGGCGCTATTTATGGCTCTGTCAATTCCAAGCGTGCCCATCGGCCCCCGGCATTTGTCTTTTTTTGGGAAAACATGCAAATACCTCACAATGAGGCCGGGCGTTCATGAAAACCCCACGGTGGGGCCTTAAAATAGGGTGCAAATGCCCCACCCCGAGACAACACCAAAATTTCATTTTCCATTAAAAATAAATTGCAAACCAATGCAAATTTATGGGAAATCTTTAATAATCTGATCAAACTCGCACGTGAAGCACCCTGCGCAAATCGCTCCTAGCCGTTCGTTATAATTCTGTTTATTGCAAAAATTAAGATCACACTGATCTGATTTTAATTATCAAAGACAAAACTATAAACTAGAATTTTAACAAGACCTCTATAGTTTTCGAGGACGTTTAACATAGTGAATGATAAACAAACAACCGACGAGCTTAATACGAGTAAGTTTTTCATCATGATGGAACCGTTTCGTCAGCGTATTGTCGCATTGATCGTACAATACACAAAGTTTATATTAACTTTTGTATATATCACAGAGTTTTTCTAGGCCTTTCTGCCTCAAACATTCACGGCACAAAGGAAGTCCATCTTTCTGAGAACCTTACTTGGGCAGTGCACTGCGACTACATAATGAAGAAGGTCAACAGACGGCTTTATACTCTGAGACAACTCAAGAAGCGTAAAGTTCCGTCGGCTGATATTGTTCATATCTACTGCGCGCTAATTCGCTCTATACTAGAGTACGCCTCCGCTGTCTTTGCTGACTTGCCTAAGTATCTTGCTTGCTATCTTGAGAACGTGCAAAAAAGGGCCCTTTCCATCATTTGGCCTGGTATTTCGTATGAAACAGCACTTGACAAAGCTGCATTATCCACTCTTTCTGACCGTCGCGCAGTTTCGTGTGTTAAATTTATAGGTAAGGTTCGGCCAGGTAACCCATTATACCCACTATATCTATTACACAACAGAGTGGTACCTATATCTAATATATAGATTTAGCCACGGCTAAAAGCGAAGCTCCCATTGATAAATTTATAACTTAAATCAAACAATAATTTTGTATTCCACAAATCAGTTAACTTAAGGGCACATTCGTGTGACTTTTAAGGGAAAAGCTCAGTGATTTTGGAGTGAAACAAATCTTGTATCGAGTTGATATAGCCTTATATGTACACCCAAAAAATAGTCTTCGGTCACATTTAAGAGCAATAATAGCTCTTGATCACAGTAGATAAGGCGTGAAAAACAAATCAGGTCGAATTTTTTGCGTTCGACAAGTTTACAAATTCTTGCCAATAAATCTGGGTGCGTGCAAACCAATCTTTTATTATTATTTTTTTTTATACACCACATCTGAGGAAAGTGAGTACTATGAGGCGCTGTTTTTATCATACAGACCTCGTACAAAATACAGTATTTCACAATTTTTCAAGACAAATTGAATTCATTCAATATTCAGGACCATCGAAGCAAGCGTGGACTTTTAATTAGCGAAACCGTTCAAAAAATTTCCAAAATCATCTATACGGCCAGTCGGTTAAGAGTTACGCTTCAACGCGATAAAGAATTTATTGAGTCTATTTTCTATTAATGGCTTTATAACGATGTGTAATCTTAAAAAGCGTTTGATACGCTCGGCATTTTGAGTACTCCTGCAAGCGATGTTTTTGAACGGCTGAAAACAAACGGCAAAGCGATGAAAATTACACTTTTGAGACTACCAACAATCAATAAAGAAATATAATTCGGTAGAACATTTACAGAGACAACAATTTTCATTCACGAAAACAAATGAGTATTTAAGTGTCTCTAAGAATCCTCAAGTCTTTACTAGTAAGATTAAAGATTAAGTTTATGTTTTAAGCCGCTGGTTTCCCGGTGTTTGCTGTTTTCAAAGATGAACTCACGACAAGAAAATCGCTCAAAGCTTTCTTTCTACAGCCAAAATTATAACTAAATATTCTTCGGAAAGTCTTTTCTTTCTATTTACGGTGAATTAATATCGACTAAAGGCTTTTTAAAGTTCTGTAAGCTTAAGCTTATATCAAACCTCATACTAGGTCAGATCAGTGTCTCAGTCAAATCTTAATACAAACGTGCATAAACTAACTTCATAAACTGCGCCGCTGGACTTCATGAAATTATATTTAAATACAATAATTACTCAGGCTTACCATAATTCGAGATGCAGCTCCTGAGAGCTATCAAGTAAGGCAAGGATCGCTTGAGCCTTTATAATTCTCGTACGCATCCAGCAAGGTGAAAAACAAAAACGATGACATCCGAAATCGGATTAGCGGCTTTGACAAGCGACGCATTTCTCAACCAAAAACCCAATAAACAAACCAGCCATGAATAAGAGAACACTCTTGATAGCAGCTGTATTTCATTTTGTACATCCAGTGGAAAAAGACAGTT